ATGTCCAAAAAGGCAACTTGAGGTAAGTTTTTATTAATGTTGGATAAGTTTTGGATAAGTTTTAAAGTTAGAATTAAATTCTGCTAACACCTGAATGTGAGGCGGGTCTTATTACTCTGGGTTCATGAAACACGCCTCCGTTCAGGAAATCCATTCCATAGTTTGAAGCCAACATGTATCATGGATCAGAAATCTCTGCAGGTTGGATCGGAAAATGGATCGATCACATTGACACCGATACCCGATCCAGAAGTTTTCCGATATCCGTACCAATATTGATATTGGATCGGTGCATCTCTAATTAGAAGACTGTCTGTCCTTACAGAGGGTGTTGCTGTTAAATTTGGACAGGAGCAGCCATGGCCGCTCTTCTCTTCACACCTATAATGGAAGTTTTCTCTTTCTCCCATCATGCCAGGCTAAACGCTTTAAAGTCGTGGCAAAGGGAAGTCTATTCAGTCTATTCCTGCAGCTTCAGTGTGAAGGTAACCATCTATGCTAGGATGAATAAAACCCCACGTTTCAGAGTTGTACTAAAGTTATTCAGTATAAACCAATCCAGGTTTGGACTTGTATTTATTTAGACTACATTGTAAAGAGGTCTGACTTACCTGTGGTAGTCTTTGACACAGTATATCTTATTTTCAGTGTCCACAGTGAAAGGTACTCCGTCAAGGCTCTCGTTACAGATGATGCAGCGGAAACAGCCGGGGTGGTATGATTTTCCAAGAGCCTGCAGGATCTACAGAAAGACATTTTAAAAAGACATTAACACAAATACAACAACATCTCACTCATTCACAAACTGAATCAAAAACATCAAAGTTCAAGCTCAATAATCCAGGTAAAAAAAAAAAAATCCAACAAAGTTAAGTCAGGTCCTCTGGACGGTTTCTTTTGTTGAAATGTTTCGTCTTTTATCCAAATGACTTCATCAGGCCGAGGAGCCACAACAAACTCAGTCCAACAAGCAGCACACTCACATAGCAGATCAACCAGTTTGATGGTGGTAAGATGGTTTCTGGAGTCTGCCCTCTCCCCTGTCGACTCCTCTGAGGCAGTCATGGCTGCCTCACAGGAGTCAAGTTAGTTGTGGCTCATCGGACTGATGAAGTCCTTTGGATGAAGGACAAAATGTTCCAACAAAAGAAACCGTCCAGAGGACCTAACTTAACTTTGTTGGATATTTTACCTGAATTACTGAGTTTGAACTTTGATGCTTTGAACCATTTTGGTCATGGCTGCCTCAGAGGAGTCGACAGGGGAGAGGGTGGACTCCAGAAAGCATCTTACCACCATCAAACTGGTTCCACTATGTGAGTGTGCTGCTTGTGTGACTAAGTTTGTTGTGGCTTCTTGGACTGATGAAGTTATTTGGATAAAAGACGAAACGTTTCAACACAGAGAAATCATCCAGAGGACCTGACTAGTTTAAAAAGTCAGGTCCAAAAGGTCATTTGATGCAGTTTTACTAGATTACTACCTAATGGGTATAAGCTATTATTAGTAATAATAGCTGTAATAATTTATTACGGTCCAGAAGAGGAGGAAAATAAGGTTAGTATTTATCAGAGCAAAACAAGAATGTCTGACAAATTTGGTGTGTTCTACAATAAACACCGTTTCCTGTTGACAAATCAAAAACTATATGAAGTTGAAGAGGCACAATAAAAACAAGACACCTTCTTCACATTTTCTGCAGGATTGAAAACAGATGATTCATATCAAAATAAATCTTTAGTTTCCTTCCTTAATGACATCATGTGTGTGCGGTTTGTTTTATGAAGTCTGTGTAGCAGAGAGGAAAGAGATGCAAAGTCATTCCTTCTGTCTGAGACTTTACCCACATGTTACATAGTTTTTTCCCTCCAGTTCTGATTCACATACACCGTCAGCACACCTACCATGTCCATGATCAGATGTCCACACGCGTTGCACTTGTCAGCAGACTGCTGGAAGCCGGAGTACTGGAACAGAGAAAAGACCACTATTTTACTGGAATTTGGTCCCTGATTCGAACTAGCTCTCCATCTTTCAGGCTGAACACCAAAAACCCCACACATCACGTCCCACAAAGAGCCCAAAGTTGTTTGTAATGTTCAGCATGTGAAGTTAATTAAAGCTGTAGTGTAAAGCTGACTAAAACTGCCACAACTCGGAGCAACGATAGTTTTATTTATTGGTGCAACTAAGGATTTTTGGCAACAACAAAAATAGAAGTTTTATCACAAAGAGAGCTCCTAAGATTAACATCCACAATGCTACCGAGGATGAATACAAGAATACATTTTAAAATTGCTATATTCCTACTAAAAAAAACCACTGAAGTGCCTACTAATAATTATGTGCGGTATAGTCCGTGCAGGTTTCCCAGAAAGTTGTGTAATGGTGTGCAATTCATGTGGTCACACTGTACTGGTGGAAATGGCTTGACTGACCTCTGACCTATAAAGCAAAGCAAAACATCTTCTCTGGTTACCTCCCTGCCTCCAGTCACACCCACATGTGAAAACTGACTGAAGAGGCTACAGTAAATATGAGCCGGGTCACAGGGTCAAAGTTCACGGCTGACTAACCTACAGAAATGAGGTATAAATACCCCACAAAAATCACCTGTTTCAGTTATTTTCCTATTTAATTTCGTTATTATTATATTTTTTTAGAATTTCAGTTTAAGTTATAAGAGCACACACCTAAACTACAGAATATCGATGACATATTGATCACCCACCAGGAAGTCCTCTTCACAGAAAACCTTTCCTCCAACATAGTAGAAAGCTTTTCCTCTCAACCTTCGACCTGCAGAAACAGAAACAAATAAACACAGTCCTGATGATGCTCAACAATCCAGGTAGAAAAATCTGACAAGTTAAGTCAGGTTCTCTGGACGGATCCGATCACAGCACCTGACTTAACCTTGTTAAATAAATACATTATTTGACTTTTCATTTGAAATCAGACAAAACACAACTCAAAAATCTTGCTGCCTGTTTTTTAATGAAAATATGGAAATTAAAGCGGACTAGAAAAGGCCGACAACACATTGGGGGGAAATTCTGCATGAGCCATGAGCTCAATCTCAGAAAATAGTTCCAGCGCTAATGCACGAGGAGGACCGCGGTGATTAATTGCTGCCATTCCACGTAATGAGTCCTCTTGCAATATTCACCATATCCTGCTGAATCCCAAGAAGATAAATCAAATGGTGAGTGTGTGGTGTGCTGGTGCCTTAATATAATTCTGCAGGGACACAGAGAGCGTGCTGCAAGGAACACGTATGGATAAAACACGTGGAGAAAATGCTGATGATGTTCAATTAGCAGACAGGTGCAAGAGATTAAACACTGCTTGATTTAATCTCATGTGGCCAAAGTGTACGAGAACCTGCTGTTCTCCCTCTGTGTTCGTTCCAGTGGAGTCCCACGTGGTTGGTTGTTTCCTGTCTGTCTGTTTGTGTATGGTCTGGATCTTGCTTCTTATACCAGAGCACACACACACACACACACCAAACGCTCTCTCGCTCCCTTCACATAGCTATTCTTGCTCAGGTCCCACAGGAAGAAGAAACATTCCGCACATTTTCTGAGTGGGAGGTTAGAGGAGAGGACAACAGGAGGGGGGTGGGGTGGGGGACCCACAGAGAATGGCAGCCATCTGTCAGGCTGTTTACCTGACTGACCGTTTACACACACCAACACACACACACTCTCCAGCTCCTGAATAAGCCCAATTATCATAAAAAGTTGATGGATAAAAGGGTTATCGTTGAGAAAAAAATCTACACAAAGGCTGGCCTACCGCTTTCATTCAAACCAGCTTCAGCATGCAAGTTGTATTTGATAGCTACTAGTTGACTGTTTAGGAGAATACTGTATTTGCCGGCGTACAAGTCGCACTTTTTTGCATAAATTTGCAAGTCCTGCAATTTCTAAACTGAAGTGACTAATATACATTTCCCCCCCATATTTATAACCCAATTTTTGGCTGAGATCTGACGGTTTCATTCATTCTGACATGGAAAATATTGAACACTACCATTTTCAGCCGCCAGAGGGCCCTCGAGTAATATGGCAAGCCAAGTAGGCCTGTCGCAATAAACAATAAATCAATTCATCACATGATAAATGAAAATTATCAACCTCATTTTCATTTATCGGCTTTATCGTTTCTTCATGTCCCTCTCTTTCTACTGAAGACACTGGATGACACAAAGCTCAACTCCGGTGCTCTTCACTGACCCCTCCCTTTCTCTTTAAAATTAGTTTTAAACCGTCCCAAATTGCGTTTTTGGAAGGGTTGTTTGTAAAGGTTATGAACATTTACTAGCTTAGTGAATGGTGGAGCAGAAGTTAGAGAAGGAGGGCCTGTGATCGGAAGATCGCTGGGTCAACTCCCGGTACCGACAACATCAAAATGTGAGTGGGATAGGTGAAGCACCCGCACCTGCCTCCACCCTCATTTGCCCCACTCTGGGCCCTTGAGCAAGGCCCATAACCCCCACCATATGCTCCCCCAGGCGTCCTAGATAGCAGCTCTCTGCTCCACACAGAGGGCTGTGGTAGCTCTGTGGTCTGTGGTTGTGTCAAGAAGGACATTTGGCGTAACAATAAATGCCACGTCTTTGTGCAACTTGGCTCGCTGTGGTGACCCCTGAAGAAAGGAGCAGCCGAAAGAAAAAGGAACAAATAATAGCATAACTCTTGTAGAAAGATCTTTGGATGGCCTCAGTTTGGAGAAATAGAGTTTTATTTGATAAACACTGACAAGCTAAAGGCTAACGTGAGTAGAGTCAAAACCAAAACGGATTGCTCCATAATAAAACACTACATTTTACAGTGGTTCCTGCACACTATTTTATGAACCTCTACCTCACCATCAGGTTTGCATTATACGGAGATTTCAGCAGAAATATGATGTTATCCCTGCTGAAATCTCTACAGCTAGCTGCTTCCATTGCCCTTTGTGTAAATAAAAACAGGTTTCTATAACTACGTAATCTGAAATTGAATTGGTGTTAAAAAAAAGAGGAATCAATACACTTTAGCTTGGCCCCACTTGATCTACTCATTAGTAGTCCAGTCCAGATTAAACTCTAGCTCTCCAAACTGAGTTTCTTTAAAAAGCTACCTACAACAGGTAAAATATTATTGGTCATTACTTCTCCACAGAACCCCACTTCAAAAGCAGGAATTATTGCTTTAAGAAAATCCAAGCCATTCCCATTCCAACCAGTGTGTACAAACTGGGCAATTATTGACCAACAGTTTTAGGACGATGTTCTCAAAAGGAGTCCAGAGTGAGAAAGATGAAAGGGAGTTATAGACCACTCCTCTTCTTTACATTCTTGTCTTTTTGAGGGGACCGGTGAGTCAAGGAGGGAAGGCTTTAAGCTAAAAGATAAGAGCTTAATTAAAGTCAGGAGTCAGGACTGGCGGCTTGAAAAGCACGAGAAAGAACCAACTGTTGTGCTTTCATAAAAAAGTTAAACACCTGAGGGACAGAACAAACCACACAGCCATTTTCTAATTAAACCGTTCTCCGAGTTCTTCTGAGTAATCCCATTGTAAAAGAAAAAAAAAGGAGAAGAAGAAAAAGGCATTCAGAGTGACCCTGTCGCAACTCAACCCTTTACCTCGTCCTGCTCCTTCAGCTTGGCAAATTACTCGGGTGAAACATCCCCTAGAGAAGTAGAATTTATTATCAATTTCTAACATGAAAAAAGTTTACTCTAAACTTCAATTGCACCTTAAGTCAGTAATGATCCGTGCAAAACAAACTAAAGAAAGCTCTTGAAGTACAACAGCTGGGCGATATAAACTGAAGTTAAGTTGTTTTGTTTCAGGGCTTCACTGTGATACAGAGTTGCATTCGGGCCTAAAAAAAATCTGGCCCGGCCCGAACCCGTATCATTTTTTTCCGAGTACGACTTGAAACCGACGGATGAACTGGAATTACAAGCCCGAACCCGAAAAAAT